TCACTGATTTGCTTATGCTTTTCGGTGTCCCAAATTCTTTTGATTTCCGCCCAATTGTCAGCTGTAATAAAATCCGGCTTTTCTTGTCTTCTCTTTGCTCTATTCATCACATTTCGCATGTGATCACCGGCTTTCTTCTTAAAAATTCTTTTAACTTCTTTCTCTTCCGCTTCATCCCACCCGAACTTCCGCCGCAAGCAATCAATAGAAAAATAATTGTACGCTCGATGCTAAATCGAACTTAGTTTGTGAGGAAATAAAAGGACAAAACTTACCTTGAACTCATTCCACCACAATTCCTTTACTTCTTTTGGAGCAGTGGTCCAACTACTAAACTGCCCCATCCAATAGTTATCGATTATTTTATTAAGTCTCCTCACAACACGCGTAGAATCTGTGAATCTGCAAACGGGTTATAACTTATTTCAACATACGTAACATCCGTAAAGCATACAGACAATTCAGTTGACATCCATAATAATTCACATATATTTAAAAAAATGAAATACTTACGAATCTCCAAATGGGGCTATCATGAATCGGGTATCTTCTTCATAATTCGAGTGTTGCGTTGAAGAAGAAGGTGGAACCAAAGGCGATGGAACTGAAGTAACTTCAGTTCGCATTTGAGGGTCGGAGGAAGGGCCAATGTGTCCATGTACTAGTTGAGGGTTAGATAAAAGGGCAAGGGCAGGGGAAGCGGAAAGGGATGGGGATGAGGACGAGGAAGAGGAAAGGCCTGATCTTCTTTGTGAAGAATCATCACGACGCATGTGACCTCCACGTTTATACTAAAAGGTGCAAGGTTAGACAAAAATAAAGAAAATTATGAACATATATTAAGGACACATAATGACGTACGTCGTGAAGCTTACCATTTTGTTATTGAGAGCAAGAGAGATGGCCCCTGAAAAAAAGGAAGCTGTCCGGAAATGTCTACGAGCTAAATTTCTGGTCCTACAACGGTAAAAAAGGAAGAACTCATCTAGCTAGTCAGGGTCATCAAATTTTCAGTTAATTTCTGTAATTCGACTTGTTTTAAAATTTAATTGCATGTTTTGAAAGCCTTAGAAATTAATAAGTTACACTTTCACAACAAATTTTATGATGCAAGTAAATCACTAAGTTCTGTTCAAAATGAATATATCAACTTCAACAAGAAAATCAATAAATTTTTACCTCGAAGGGAGCCACTCCAGAAAACGCAAATGTGACGGAAATAGTTTTACCCCGATGGCCAAAGCTTCAACCTAGGCCAAAAAAGGTTTGGAAATAGTTTTCAAACCTAGATAATGATAAAATGACTCCGAAACGAAAAAAAAAAAAAAAAAAAAAAAAGCGGAAATGTCACGTAAAACACTATTCACCATAATCATTTTTTGCCAAAAAACCCATCTAAACGACTCCAAAAAGCCAAAAAATGGCTTGCGTCATAGCCATAGGCAGTGAATTTCGATCAGCGGGCCGTTTTCACTTGACCGACCAAATTTCAGCTCATTCCGACAACATTTCACCTTATTTCAACCGAATTTCAAACGAATTTCAACTAAATTTCAACCTAAATCCGACCAAATTTCAACCTAAATATGAGAAATTGATTATGTTTCGCTCTGCTTCGTGGGCGAACGAAACAGATTAGGTCCGTTTCGCCCACGAACAATCAAATTCGTGGGCGAAACAGAACAGAACCATTCTGCTTTCGCCCACGAACGTAATCAAATTCGTGGGCGAAACAACAAACCATTCTGTTTCGCCCACGAACAAATCAAATTCGTGGGCGAAACAGAATGGTTCTGTTTCTTTCGCCCACGAATTTGATTCTCGTCGTGGCGAAATGCACCCAATTTGTTTCGCACGTAAGCCAACACAACACCCAACACGTAAACGCCCACGAAAGCCAACACAAAAGGGCCGCCAGAAGCGCCCACGAATGGGTTTGTTTCGCACACGAATAGAACCAAATTCGTGGGCGAAACAGACCCAATCTGCTTCGGCCCACGAATGTAACGGCGTACCCAACACAAAAGGTAGAGTGCGTACCCAACACGTAAAATGTATGTATGCACCCAACACAAATGTAAGTATGTATGTACTCAACACGTGTTTACCAACACAGTGATTTGCACCCAACACGTAAGCTTCGCCCAACACATTAGCAGGCGTGCTTAGCGTATGTGCGTTGCAGGCGTGCGCAGGCGTGCATAAAAGCTGAAGCACAGAGCGTGGCCCAAACGTAGACCCAACACATACATTGAACAAGCATAAGCATAAGCAGACGCAAACGCCAAGAAATAACGGCGAAAAGCTGACCCAAATGTAAGCATACCGAATGTAGGCACTCGAACACTCTCTGACGCCGCCGAAGAACCCAATGTAAGGCACCGCGGCCGGGTGTCTCGCTTCCTGGCGTCCGCCGAAGAACCCAATGTGGCGCACCGCTACCGGGTGTCCTCGCTCCCGGCCGTCCCGCCGAAGAACGCCAAGAATCGCGCCGAAGAACCGCAACAGAGACAGAGAAGAGGGAGAAGACAGAGACAAACAAGATAGGTTCGCTCGTGAGAACAGAAAAGAAGAACCCTAATTTGTACTCGCTCATGAAGACGACGCCGTTTGGTGAATTTTCGCTGAAATTAACCACGGATTTAAAATCGTGGCTAAAATCGTGGCAAATTAGCCACGGATTGGAAATCGTGGCTAAATCCATGGCAAATTAGCCATGAATCTTATTTCGTGGCTAATTTGCCACGGATTTAGCCACGATTTCCAATCCGTGGCTAAATTGCCACGATTTTAGCCACGAATTGTTATTATATCGCGGCAAATTCGAATCGAAATATAAAATTGTCGCAGTAATTTTGGGGTCTTTTTCAAATTCGTAGCAAAAATCCGTGGCAAATTTGCCACGGATTTTTGCCACGAATTTCCTCAAAAAGCTTGCACACGATTTTTTTTTTTAAAAAAAATATCCGTGGATAAAATCTGTGGCAAATTTGCCATGGATTTTTGCCACGGATTTCCTAAAAAAGAATACAATAGAATTTTTTTTTTAAAAAAAATCCGTGGAAAAAATCCGTGGCAAATTTGCCACGGATTTCCTGAAAAAAGAAAAGAATACAATATAAATTTTTTTTTAAAAAAAATCCGTGGCAAATTTGCCACGGATTTTTTCCACGGATTTCCTAAAAAAGAATACAATATAATTTTTTTTTTAAAAAAATCCGTGGCTAAAATCCGTGGCAAATTTGCCACGGATTTTTGTCACGAATTTCCTAAAAAAGAATACAATATAAATTTTTTTTAAAAAAAATCCGTGGCTAAAATCCGTGGCAAATTTGCCACGGATTTTTGCCATGAATTTCCTAAAAAAGAATACAATATAATTTTTTTTAAAAAAAAATCCGTGGCTAAAATCCGTGGCAAATTTGCCACGGATTTTTGCCACGAATTTTCTGAAAAAGAATACAATATAATTTTTTTTTAAAAAAAATCCGTGGCAAATTTGCCACGGATTTTTGCCACGAATTTTTTTAAAAAGAATACAATATAAATTTTTTTTTAAAAAAATCCGTGGCAGATTTGCCACGGATTTTTGCCACGAATTTCCTAAAAAAGAATACAATATAATTTTTTTTTTAAAAAATCCATGGCTAAAATCCGTGGCAAATTTGCCACGAATTTTTTAAAAAAGAATACAATATAAATTTTTTTTAAAAAAAAATCCGTGGCTAAAATCCGTGGCAAATTTGCCACGGATTTTTGCCACGAATTTCCTAAAAAGAATACAATATAATTTTTTTAAAAAATCGTGGCTAAAATCCGGGCAAATTTGCCACGGATTTTGCCACGAATTTCCTAAAAAGGGATACAATATAAATTTTTTTTAAAAATCCGTGGCTAAAATCCGTGGCAAATTTGCCACGGATTTTTGCCACGAATTTCCTAAAAAAGAATACAATATAATTTTTTTTTTTAAAAATCTGTGGCAAATTTGCCACGAATTTTTTAAAAAAGAATACAATATAAATTTTTTAAAAAATCCGTGGCTAAAATCCGTGGCAAATTTGCCACGGATTTTAGCCACGGATTTCCTGAAAAAGAATACAATAGATTTTTTGTTTAATAACAAATCCGTGGCTAAAATCCGTGGCAAATTTGCCACGGATTTTTGCCACGAATTTCCTAAAAAAGAATACAATATAATTTTTTTTTAAAAAAAATCTGTGGCTAAAATCCGTGGCAAATTTACCATGAATTTCCTAAAAAAAGCCTAAATCATGCGTACGGCCTTTGTTTACGAAATCCGTGGTAAATTGCCACGGATTTTTGCCACGAATTTCTTAAAATTAATTTTTGGCTTTTCATGAAAAATTACTTAGCCTTGTGAGTGGGATTTTTTCATGAAATTCGTGGCTAAATTTCGTGGCAAATTTTCCACAGATTTTAGCCACGAATTTCATTTCTACTGTCCCACACTCGCGTAATTCATTTTTTTTTTCCGGACAATGACGTTTCATTAACAATAATAGCAATAATAATATTCAACAACAATTACAATAATAATAATAATAATAACTACAACAACAACAACAACAATACTAATAATTACGGCAACAACAACAATAATAAATATGACAACAACAATAAACTTTGTCATAATAATAATAATAATAATAATTACGACATAATTAGTAAAAAGTCTCAAAAATCTAAATCTTCGTCTTCACCTTCGTCTTCATTTTGATCTTAATCTTCTTGTTCAAAGCATCATCGTCATCATCGCCGCCGCCATCATCGCCATCATCATCATCGCCATCGTCGCCGCATCATCATCATCATCATCATCATCATCGTCCGAAAATCAGCTTCTGCAACACCTTCTAAATTTGATTCGCGAATTTCAGTTACATCTACATCTATCATTGCTCCACATGGATCTCGTAGAGTAGGAATGTTATATTCCTCGCCTTGAACCGCATTATAAACTTCCTCTTCTTGATATGTCAGTATCCTTCCAAGTGTTCCTCGATTTTTCTTCGTGCTTTGGTTTTACATACAGCCCACCAATCAGCTTTGTCACGTTTCAAACTAGGATATGATGCATAATATACTTGAATTGCTTGTTGTGCCAACACAAATGGTTCATATTTCTTATACCTTTTCTTGTGATTTATTTCAACCAAATTAAACTTCGTATGTACCTTCGTTCCTTTGACGGGGTCGAACCACATGCACTTAAATAACACAACCCGCATTAATGGTCCGGGGTACTCTATCTCGATGATTTCATCCAACAAGCCATAAAAATCATCTTTTGAACTACCACAATTGGATGACCGAACACACACACCACTATTCATTGTGGCTTTTTCCATTCCATATTCTCGAGTGTGAAAATTGTACCCGTTTATGAAATATGCTGGCCAACTTCGTATGCTTGACTGTGGACCCCATGACAGATAATATAGTAATCCTTGCTCTTCAACTTGATCATGATTACTGTGAACCTAAGATTACACACGCAAAGTCAATAATATATATTTAAATGATGTATAAAATATTAATAACTTGGTTTTGGTCTATAGGCAACTTACATATGTTTTGAACCATGCTGCAAATTGTTCATCGCATAAACGGTCGAACTCTTTTGGTGGTAGTCCATACATTGAATTTTGAAAAATCCTATTAACAATTTACATTTAAATATTAGTAAATATTTGACACGCAATACATATATTTGCAAAAATATACACTTACTGGAAGTATGGCTCCACTTCTGGACAGTTCAGTAAAATATAGGTATGGGCTGCCTGCCGTTCTTCGCCTGTTAAGCAACGAAACTGACATGCGCCGCTTGGTCGACCGAGATAATTGAAAATAGAGAATGATTTGCAATTGGGATCGATGGGACCCTCATCATTTCTTCCTGCTCTCCGCCTCTTGCACTGCACGTGCGGCTCAAAATAGTATGATGCAAATGTTGTCACTTCTTCCACAATATATGCATTACAAATTGAAGCTTCAACACATGCCTTATTCTTCACTTTTTTCTTCAAATGATATAAGAACCTTGTTGCAATAGAAAGAAGTTTATCGAACATAATATATAATAAAGTATTTTGAATTTTATTTTGAAAAAATTTTACCTCTCAAATGGATACATCCATCGAAATTGGACGGGACTCCGCAACTTTAGCCTCATAAGGCAAGTGAACTAGAGATGCTTCATTGAATCAAAAACGCCTGGAGGAAATATCCTTTCTAAATTGCAAAGAATAATTGGAATGTCTCTCTCCAGTTTCTCCATGTGTGATACTTTTAACACTGTTGAGCAAATATCATGGAGGAAATTACTTAACTCTGTAATGGCGCCCCATACAAAGTTTGGTAGAAGTTCCTTCAAAGCTATTGGAATTAGTCTTTCCATAAATATGTGACAATCATGACTCTTTAATCCTGTCAACTTGCATTCGTTCAAATCAACACATCTCCCGACAAACGACTCGTCTCTGCTCCTTATCCAATGTATAAACTGCTTTTGGTTTTGGTCCCCTGCTGCTTGCATCCACATCTAATGTTGGCCGATCACAAATATCTCTCATATCTTTTCTTGCATTCAAGTTGTCTTTTGTTTTTCCCGTGACATCCATCACAGTATTTATGACATTGTCGAAAACATTCTTTTCAATGTGCATAACGTCAAGATTATGATGAATAAGATGAGCTTTCCAATATGGTAGATCCCAAAATATACTGCGTTTAGTCCACTTATGTGCACTTCCGTACGCAATAGTTGTGCCATGAGGGTTTTCAACAACAGTTGGAAAGTCCCGCACTCGCCTCCCATATTTGATCACCAATCAACCTCAATGGTGGAGGAGTTCTTTCAATCCTATTCTTGATGAACTCTTTTTATTCCTTCCGAATGTATGATTCATCGGCAAAAATTGTCTCGAGACAATCAAAATAGCAAGGCTTCTTACCATGTCTTAATCAATGACTTCGACATCTCCAAACATATCGGACATCCTAAGATCCCAAACTCCATCCGGATAACATTCCATAAGTGGAAAGTCATTTATCGTCCAAAGAAGAGCAGCCTTCATTACAAATGTTTGATTAGTAGAAACATCATACGTAACGACACCTTCATTCCATAGCCGTTGTAACTCTTCAATCAATGGTTGCATATAAACATCTATCAACTTTTTCGGATTTTGCGGCCCTGGTCCACGATCAATGTCAAAAACATATAAGGTGTCTTCATGCACATACCGGGTGGAAGATTGTACGGAGTTAAGATAACTGGCCAACATGAATAACTTTTCCCTGATTTTCCAAATGGGGCAAATCCATCAGCACAGAGACCTAACCTAATATTTCGAGACTCTATCGCAAATTCAGGGTATGTTCTATCAAAATGTTTCCATGCCTCTGCATCTGAAGGATGACACATTAGACCCTCTTCTCTTTCATGATTTGCATGCCAAGTCATGTGTTCAGCAGTGGCTTGAGACGCATAAAGCCTTTGTAATCTGGGGATTAAGGGCAGATAAAACATTTGCTTGCATGGTCTACGCTTCTGATTACGACCTTGCCTCATGTTCCTGTTAATCTTGTACCTAGGTTGGCTACAGAATTTGCAAGATTCTGCATTTTCGTCATCTCTCCAATATAACATACAACCCCTGCTACATACATCAATCCTTTCAACTGGAAGACCTAAGTTATCCACTAACTTCTTCATATCGTAAAAATCACTTGGCATTATGTTATCAGGAGGCATTGCTTCTCGCATTACTTCAACAAAAGAGTTAAAGCAATTCTCAGACACATTATGCTCTGCCTTGATATTTAACAATCTTGTTGTCGCTGATAACTGAGTATGATTGTCACAACCTGCCCATAAAGGTTCATCTGCTGCTTTCAACACTTCCCAGAACTGATTAGATGGAAACGTTTCATTACACACATTCTCATCAAAACCTGTTACTCCTATCTCTTCAAATTGTTCAAGTCTTGGAGTAAAACTAGTACTTGCATGGTTTGGATCCGAATTATGACCAGCTGCATCAATCACCATCCTCTGGTATGGGTTCATTTGGTCATAATAGCTACATTCTTCCCTAACTGAAAATTGGTCACTTATTCGATATCCTTCATCAGATATAAATGATTCACCATGACAAGTCCAATTATAGTAGTTCGGAGTAAACCCAAATCTACAAAGATGTTCTCTAACTGTATCACATACATGAAATTTACCATTACTGCACTTTCTACACGGACACCTTAACTTATTTCCATCCATCAACTCATATTTACTACTAGCAAAGTCCAAAAATAGTTCCAACCCAAGATTTAAACTCATCGGTCAATCCTCGACGTCCAGTAAGTTCTTATTATACATCCAAGCCCCGTCTCTTTGCATTGTCTATATAAAAATAACAAAATCTCGTAAAATATTAATGCCAAAAAATTTTCGATATTAAAACCATAAAATTCTAAAAATTAAAATTTTATTTTTGCCTAAATAAATTATTTTGAAATTGAAAAAATTAAAACAATTGACTTACCCAAGTATTTGACTGAAATCTTTGTAGTACAAAGTGCTCAATTTGATGAGAATTGCAACGTTCACTTCATCCGCGAGACTTTCAAACGAATACGTACCTACAAAAAAAAATTGACTTCAGATTTTATTTTTTTATAATAATTTTTTTCCCCAATTTTTTTAATAATTTTTTTTTCGAATTTTTTTCCCAAATTTTTTTCCTTCATTTTTTCTCCGGTCGCCGATCCGGCGACCGGCCGGCGAGTTGGACCTCGCCGGCCATGGCTGATCTCGGACCTCGCCGCCGATCCGGACCTCGCGGCGAGGTCAGCCGCCGCCGCGACCTCCTCGCGGCGAGGTCCAGGCGCGCCATGGCCGCCGACCTCGCCGCGAGGTCCAGGCGGCGCCATGGCCGCTCGACCTCGCCGCCCGGATCCGGGCGGCGAGGTCGAGCTTGGGCCTCGGCGCCCGATCCGGGCGGCGAGGTCGAGCTTGGGCCTCGCCATGGCCGCCGCGAGGTTCAGCGGCGGCCATGGCGAGGTCGAGCGGCCATGGCCGCCGCTGGACCTCGCGGCGAGGTCGAGCGGCCATGGCCGCCGCCGACCTCGCGGCGAGGTCGAGCGCGGCCCCATGGCGAGGCCGCTCGGCCTCGCCCGATCCGGGCGAGGTCCAGCGCCCCGCCCATGGCCGGCGAGCCTCGCCGGTCGCCGCGTTTGACCGGCGACGGCGACGAAGTCGAAAAAAAAAAGAGAAAAAAACTCAATAAAATAACAAAAATTTGAAAATAGTTTTGCCGAAATTAATCACACCACTTACCAAAGAGAAAAGGTTCACCGAGATAGATTTTTGCGCGTGCGGAGAGATTTATCGAGAGGAAGGGATAACAAAGCAAATAGGGAGAGGAAGGGAGAATGCTAATAGGGATAAGAGGAATTAGCAGAGAGAGAGAAATTGGGTCTACAAGTAGAGGAGAATCAGCGACGAATAACAATTGTCGCTAATTCCGTCAGCAAAATAACCACGAATTTTTTTCGTGGTAAATTTCGTCGCAAATTAGCGACGACATTTATTTTTCGTCGCAAATTAGAAACGGAAAAATATTCGTCGGAAATTTGGTCGCAAATTAGCCACGAATTTTTTTTCGTGGCAAATTCCGTCGCAAATTAGCGACGACTATTTTTTCGTGGCAAATTCCGTCGCAAATTAGCCACGAATTATTTTTCGTGGCAAATTCCGTCGCAAATTAGCCACGAATTTTTTTCGTGGGAAAATCCGTCGCAAATTTTCCACGAATTTTTTTTCGTGGTAAAATTCGTCGCAAATTTGCGACGATTTTTTTTCCGTGGCAGATTCCGTCGCAAATTAGCCACGAATTTTTTTCCGTCGCAAAATTCGTCGGAAATTTGCGACGAATTATTTTTCGTGGCTAATTTGCGACGGAAAATATATTCGTCGCAATTAGCCACGAAAAATAATTCGTCGCAAATTTCCGTGGCTAAACCCTTGTTTTTTTGTAGTGCGAGCTGCCCAAGATCTTCACGCCGACGGAACCTTCGAACCGTGAACCGAGGAGCGCGACCAGAGAGCTGAAAAGCTCGGCGACATCCCCATCTTCCGCGACAACCGTCCTCGCGAGCCGACGTCAAGGCAAGTGAAATTCTGCCTCCCTATAATAGATCGGAATGGGTTGCATGTTGGCGTGGGTTTAGGATATTGATGGAAATGGATGGTGGTGATGGAAATTAGCTGCTGGTTTGGGTGTTTTTGAACACCAAATTCGTGTAGATCAAGTCATGAGTTATTCTTGAACTTGAGTTGTGATTTCCAGATTCGGTTTCTACTGGACCTTTACTGCTTTCTAATTTTTTAGAGATTTCTGTGGTTAGAATTTTGCAAGACTTCCTTCATGAAAGTTGTTCAAAACATCTGGAAGTATAACATATTTTAATTTCAGAATTTTTGAAGTTGTTTTGGGTAGCACGAACGCCAAATCTCTAACCCGTGCTTGACTGCCCAGGTGCTCTGTTTCAGTGACCTTTCCACATTCTTGAATTTTTATAAAATTTTCTAGAATGATTCTGAACAAACTTCCTTCACAAAAGTTTTTGAGGATGTCTTTCTCTACAACATATTTAAATTTTAGAATTTTTGGAGAGGATTTGGATACTGAAATGAACTCATTTTAAGAGTCAAGGATTCTGTCCCGATGAACAGTTTTTAGTCTGACTTTAAGCTCCCGAACGAGGCATTTAAAGAAATAATTAGACTTTGAATCCTTCATGAAAAATGTTTATCAAGGTGTCTTCGGTGCAAAATTCTAACCACAGAAATCTCTACAGAATTGGAAAGCAGTAAAGGTCCAGTAGAAACCGAATCTGGAAATCACAACTCAAGTTCAAGAATAACTCATGACTTGATCTACACGAATTTGGTGTTCAAAAACACCCAAACCAGCAGCTAATTTCCATCACCACCATCCATTTCCATCAATATCCTAAACCCACGCCAACATGCAACCCATTCCGATCTATTATAGGGAGCTAGAATTTCACTTGCCTTGACGTCGGCTCGCGAGGACGGTTGTCGCGGAAGATGGGGATGTCGCCGAGCTTTTCAGCTCTCTGGTCGCGCTCCTCGGTTCACGGTTCGAAGGTTCCGTCGGCGTGAAGGTCTTGGGCAGCTCGTGGAGGACAAAACGGTACGTGATGGTGTTGGGGGAAAAGAAACGATCAGAACAGAAAATGATAAATAGAGGGGGTTGTTCTGTTTTTTTTTTTTGGGCGGTAGAGAATGAGAAGGGCAGAGGAATAAGAAGATGAAGAAGACTACTAAGTCGGCGAAAGTCTTTGAAAAATCAAAGACTTGGGGGCTTTGCTGGACTGATCTCCTTCGCCGGTTGACTGAGGAAGAGCAGAATTTTGTTGACTGGAGAAAAATATGGGACAGCTGGGCGGTGGTGATGATGATGCTGTTAGTGATAGAAAGCAAGTGGCGTGGAGACTTAGAATGGCAGAATAATTGTTGACTGAAGAAAACAAATGGACAGCTGGCTGGGGTGATGTAAGGGAGCAGCTGGCGGTGATGGTGTAAGGGGGTCAAGTGTGGCACGAAGAAAAGGGTGAGTGGCAGTGACGAGGGAGGTGACCGAATGAATAAGTGTACTGGTGGTGTGGATTGGGGAAAACGCTTCCAACGTGACATACAAACAAAGATAACAGCAACATGGCACATGGAATTGGCTTACATGAAATTTGACTCGAGAGGAAAACGTGACTAAAATGGATAATGTGCACGGAAGACATTGAGAAGTCAAGATGGTCTTGCGGTGGTTGACAAGGCAATGGTACAGTAATTTCATAATAACGTCAGCGTCTTCCAAAATTGACACTTCCGTAGCTCGTCGCCGATTATTTAAATTTCCACGTAACGTTCTGTTACATACATTCGTTAAACTAGCGAATGGAATTTTGGGATGTCACACTCTCCCCACCTTATGAAATTCCGTCCTCAAAATTTAGGTCTTTACTTGTTCCTTCAAACAATTGTGGGTACCGAAGTCTCATCTCTTCTTCACTTTCCCATGTAGCTTCCTCATCACCATGATGTTGCCACAGAATTTTAACAAGAGGAATGGTTTTATTTCTGAGAGTCCGCTTGCCATGATCCAATATCCGTATTGGTCTCTCAATGTATTTTACCTTGTCGTCGACATCTATGGTCTCAAAATCTAGCACGTGTGAGGAGTCAGGCTTGTATTTCCTCAACATTGATACATGAAATACATCGTGTATATTAGAGAGCTTTGGTGGTAATGCTAACCGATATGCCAATTCTCCGATTCTCTCGAGTATTTCAAAAGGTCCTACAAACCCGGGACTCAATTTTCCTTTCTTTCCAAACCTTGATATACCTTTCATTGGTGATACTTTCAGGAACACATGGTCACCCACCTTGAACTCTAAGGGTCTCCGACGTCTATCGGCATAACTTTTCTGTCGACTTTAGGCGGTTTTGAGCTTATCTCGTATCAGTTTCACGGTTTCCATCATGACTTGTACTAATTCTAGTGCTGTCAACTTTCTCTCTCCTACTTCATCCCAACAGACTGGGGTCCTACAGGCTCTTTCATACAAGGTTTCAAATGGAGCCATCTGAATACTTTTCTGAAAGCTATTATTATATGCAAACTCCACTAAAGGTAGCTTCTCGTCCCAATTGCCTTTGAAGTCAATAACACAAGCACGTAACATATCCTCCAATATTTGTATCACCCGTTCTGATTGTCCATCTGTCTGAGGATGAAATGCAGTACTACACTGAAGCTTAGTCCCCAGAGCCACCTAGAGATTCTTCCAGAAGTTCGAAGTGAATCTTGGGTCTCGGTCTGACGTGATGGTCACAGGCACTCCGTGCAATCGCACTATATGTTTAATATATAAGTCTGCATACTTCTCAAGTGAATAGTCTATTCGTACTGCCAGAAAATGAGCAAACTTAGTCAAACGATCTACAATCACCCAGATGGAATCGTGACCACTTGATGTCCTTGGTAAACCTTGCACGAAATCCATTGTTATATGTTCCCATTTCCATTCGGGAATTTCTAAAGGTTTCAGCATTTTAGCCGATTTACGATGCTCTACCTTGACTTGTTGACACGTTAAACACCCTGCAAAATGTTTAGCTATATCCGACTTCATTCCATTCCACTAGTAATATTGACGAAGATTATGGTACATCTTCGTATTCCCGGGGTGAATACTATAATTACTCCAATGGGCCTCCGTCAAGATTTCCCGCTTTAATTCTTCATTGTCAGGCACGCATATGCGTCCACGGAATTTCACGACTCCTTCATCCGTTACGTGAAATTCTGACTTCTTTCCTTTCATGATTTCTTCCCAAACCTTTGAGATCTCGGGGTCCGTTTGCTGTAATGCTTTATTTCTTTGTATAATTACAGGCTCAACTGTCATCGTAGCCAATATACTGGAAAGATCATTAATCTCAAGTTTAAAGTCTGATTCTGAAGCCTTCTCAAGTAAACACCATTCCTTGACCATCAGATCGGCTACGGTCAAAGCAGACTTCCGACTAAGAGCGTCTGTCACTTTATTGGCTTTCCCGGGATGGTATAAAATTTCACAATCATAATCCTTTAATAACTACATCCACCTTCTCTGTCTCATATTTAACTCTTTATGAGAAAACAAATACTTCAGATTCTTATGATTTGTATAAATTTCAAACTTTCCTCCATATAGGTAATGTCTCCATATCCAAAATTTAGAATTTTTAAAGTTCATTCACTATTTATTTAAGTCTGATTTTAAAATTGGTGCAAGGCTGTCCAGTTTTACCAATTTATAAAGACTTACTATTTTCCATATGAAATTGTTGGAATCTCAATTTGATGTCTTCTGGAGATGAAATGTATAAACTCTGATCTTTCCAATGAGTCATGCTAGAGCTAGACCTTGATGTGGTTAGCCACGTGTCGTGGGATGTGTTGTTGACGATTAGTCAAGGCGGTGCTCTAGTGAACGAGACCGCGAATGCGACTTACGATATGTCCTACTAAAGTGGTAAACTGTGAATTATGTGATATTGAGAAAGGATGATTGTTGTTGACGAACTGTGTACTGCACGAAATGATTAGTTTGTGTGGGCTTGCTGGGTTATTAAATGCCGTCGATCAGTGAACCGACGATGCCCCGAGGAGCCGTAGGGAATGCGGGATGCCGTGGTCAGTGGACTACGATGCCTAGGATGAGAATGCCCTAGATGCCCCGGTAGTTTGATCGGGATGCCATGGTCAGTGGATCAAGAAGCCTGCGCGGGCCGTTGAAAATTCCGGCGTACACCGCGGCGGATCGGAGTGCGCACCGAATCCCGCTAGACGGGAGTTTTCCTCCTTGCGTGTCCGGCGAGCGCACCGGGCATGTGACTTGGAGTGAGATAATGATACCCAAGCAAGAGTGAAATTGTGTGTGTGTGTGTGTGTGTGTGTGTGTGTGTGAATCGTGCTATTGATTGTGATTGTGGAGTAAAGTATCTCACTTGAGATGGTTACTAACATAGGTACAACAAAATGTGTTTATTGTGATTAGTAAATCCAGCTAGAAGATTGTTATACTTATGCCTGTTGATATGCATTCTATTCTTGTTAATATAGGTTGACAGACATTTTACTTGTTGAGCCTAGCTCACTATTGTTGTTAACAACTTTTACAGATTTTTAGCTATGCCTATCCTACCCGCCTCCTCCTCAGTTAGCTATGGGGCCTCGATCGACTTCTCGGGACACCTGTCAGAATTCGAGATTCCTGATGTCCCCGGGATAGTGTTCGTGCGATGTATCTCAATATTGACCATAGATGTTAGGCCCCCCGTCTGATCTATATTGTTAAGTTTTTTGGCAGTGTATGCTCGTATTGGTGGGCGACTGATAGGGCCCCTATTGTACGTGTCCGACGACGAGCATGACGATGCTTCTAGTGGGGTGGATTGAGCTGTAGTTGGAGGATAGGGAGGATCATTTTTGGGACATGTGACCGACACTTTTTGGAATAAGGTCACGTGATAGGTGATACGCTTTTGATAGATGAAATTGTGAGTCTCATGTTGATAGGATAGTGATGGGAGTAGCACTGTACATAGTCTCCCTAGCATGAACTCACTCTTGTATCATCCATGTATATAAATAAAGAAATGTTGAAGTTCAGTGCCAATGATATCTTTATATTTTTGATTAGTTATTAATTCAAGATTTAAATGCTATTTTTAAAAAGAATGTTTCCGCGTGCGAACTCTTATAATCGCGTGAGCTTAGAATGACATATAGGAAGGGGCGTGCCTGGGATGCCACAGCCCTGTTCGAATGGTATCAGAGCTTAGGTTTACATTGGAGTGATAAGGTGAAGCTTGCATTGGAGGGATAAGGTTGGTTATATGGGAGTGATAAGGTGCTTTAGTGACGAACAAGCTAAGTTGTGTCTGCCCTAAGACTTCTAATGCATGTGTTTATTAGTATTGTGTTAGGGAGATACAAGTAACTATGGTTACTTATGTGATATAAATAACGTTTGTTACTTATTAGTTAGCTACGACAATTGATCATCCATAGTAACTGGTGATCAATTTGTAGAACTGGGCAATACAAGATGGTGAGGTTTGGTGCATCATCTTTTGGTGCCACTCAAGGAAGAGAACCTCGAGTAGATGGAATCCTGGAAGCATTGGCCAATGTAGGGGCATTGTTTGAGCAACAAGCCAAGCAGCAAGCGGTAATAGGGAATGGTGATCGCCGTGTGCAAGGACTTATTGAACAATTTCTGAAACTGAAGCCAAGTAAGTTTGCTGGAGTGGGAGACCCCAACGAGGCCGAAAGGTGGATATGTAGTTTGGAGAAAATATTCAACCTGTTGACTTGTACTGATACTGATAAGATACTTTTGGCTGAGTATCAACCGGAAAGAAATGCGGAACACTGGTGGAGAGCATCGAAAGAAGCAGTGTTTCCTATGGGTACGGAAATAGCTTGGGAGAAGTTTGTGGAGGCATTTTATGAGAAGTATTTTTCTGACCGTACGAAAGATCAGAAAATAGCAGAGTTCATACAGCTATGTCAGAATAATATGACGGTGGATCAGTACGAGGCTCAATTTTCTAAACTATCTAGGTTTGCGCCTCATATAGTGGAAAATAGAGAGGACAAACTTCAGTGCAAAGACAACTGCTGCCAATTCTAAGTCATGCGTCGGATAATTCAACTCATACGGTTTTAATTGCCTGGATGCATAAGCGATGATCTTCCCGTGTTGCATCAAAACACACCCAAGGCCCTTGTGGGAGGCGTCGCTATACACAACAAATCCTTTCGATCCATATGATATTGTCAGAATTGAGGCGGTAGTCAATTTTTTCTTAAGCTCTTGAAAACTTCGTTCACACTCGTCGTTCCATTCAAATTTCGTGTCCTTCCTCGTCAATTGAGTCAATGGACCAGTCAGACGTGAAAATCCTTCTACGAACCTCCGATAGTAACTAGCAAGTCCTAAGAAATTTCGAATCTCTATTACTGTCGTTGGTCTAGGCCAATTGACTATCGCTTCAATTTTAGCTGGGTCAACTATTATACCTTCTCCAATTATTATGTGACCCAGAAATGCTACTTAATCCAACCAAAATTCACACTTACTAAACTTCGCATACAACTTATGTTCTCTCAGAGTCTGAAGTGTAACCCTTAGGTGTCGTTCATGCTCTTCTAGTCCTTTCGAGTATATCAGAATATCATCAATGAAAGCTATAACAAACTGATCCAAATAGGGTTTAAACACTCTATTCATTAAATCTATGAATGCAGCTGGCGCGTTAGTCAACCCGAATGGCATTACCAAAAACTCATAATGTCAATATCGCGTCCTGAACGCCGTTTTAGGAATGTCTTCCTTCTTAATCCTGAGCTGATGATAGCATGATCTTAAGTCAATCTTTGAGAATACGGATGCCCCCTGCAATTGGTCAAATGGGTCATCAATCCTAGGCAAAGGATACTTGTTCTTGATCGTCATCTGATTCAATTGCCTATAATCAATGCAAAGACGCATTGATCCATCCTTCTTCTTTACAAATAAGACAAGTGCGCCCCATGATGATGCACTTGGCCGAATAAATCCTCTATCAAGCAATTCTTGTAATTGTACTTTTAACTCCTTTAGATCCGTTAATGCCATCCTATATGGGGCTTTCGAAATGGGCTCTGCTCCTGGGGCCAATTCTATAACAAATTCAACTTCTCGTTCCGGTGGTATTCCTGGCAACTTTTCAGGAAATACATCCGGAAATTCTTGGACCATAGAAATTTCCTCAAGTTTCAATTCATTCTTAACTTGATCCCTAACCATTGCTAAGTATCCTCAATAACCATTATTGAGGAGTCTATGTGCCTCGAGTGCTGAGATAAGTGGCAATGAAGAATTCATTCCATTCCCGACAAATTCAAAGCTAGGGTGATTTGGTGGGTTAAACTGAATCACCTTCTCATAACAATCTGCATTTGCCCATTGCTTACTAAGCCAATCCATTCCTATGATAACGTCAAAGTCGTACATAACTAAAACTACCAGATCTATCCTCTGATCCACTCCACCTATAGAGATCTTACAATCCTTACATGCCAATGTTGATAATATCATATCCTTTAGAGGTGTAGAGACACTCAAAGGCACTTCAAGCAATTCAGACTTCAATCCAACTAATCGCATAAATCTTGCAGATACAAAGGAATGCGTAGCACCTGTATCAAATAATGCGTATGCCAATTGATCACACAAGGAGAGCGTACCTGAAATAACAGTCTTGGAAGCTTCCGCTTCCTTCTGAGTGATCGCATACACTTTTCCTTGCATTGGAGGTCTTTGCAAATTCCTTGGTGGTGGTGCTCCGCCCTGAGTTGGTTGTTGTTGTTGCCGCACTGGCGGTGCACTAGGTTGTGGTCTCCCTTGAGGGCAATCTTTAACAACATGACCGAGTTGTCCACACCCAAAACACCTCTTTAGCATTGGACACGGCACATTCCCGTGTTGTCTCCCACACTGGCGGCAGTTTCCATTTGGGAATGACCTCTGCTCCATCGACTGGTTATTCCACGATCTCATGTTGTTGCGTCTCTTATTATGGACAAAAGAAGGTTTTCCAAACTGGAGGGGCCTTTTGCCAAATCTGACGTTATCCCGTGTGGCTTGATGACTTACCTTACCTTGTCCCATGGCCTCTAGTTCTCCTTTCATCAACTCCTATTCAATGAGTTGGGTACGTCTGCAAAGTACATTATAGTCCCTTATATCGAAGGGTACTAACTACTTTCTGATATCAGTCTTTGCAAGACTTCCTTCATGAAAGTTGTTCAAAACATCTGGAAGTATAACATATTTTAATTTCAGAATTTTTGGAGTTGTTTTGGGTAGCACGAACGCCAAATCTCTAACCCGTGCTTGACTGCCCAGGTGCTCTGTTTCAGTGACCTTTCCACATTCTTGAATTTTTATAAAATTTTCTAGAATGATTCTGAACAAACTTCCTTCACAAAAGTTTTTGAGGATGTCTTTCTCTACAACATATTTAAATTTTAGAATTTTTGGAGAGGATTTGGATACTGAAATGAACTCATTTTGAGAGGCAAGGATTCTGTCCCGATGAACAGTTTTTAGTCTGATTTTAAGCTCCCGAACGAGGCATTTAAAGAAATAATTAGACTTTGAATCCCTCGTGAAAAATGTTTAGCAAGGTGTCTTTGGTGACATATCCAAAATTTAGAATTTCTAAAGTTCATTCACTATTTATTTAAGTCTGATTTTAAAATTGGTGCAAGGCTGCCCAGTTTTACCAATTTATAAAGACTTACTATTTTCCATATGAAATTGCTGGAATCTCAATTTGATGTCTTCTGGAGATGAAATGTATAAACTCTGATCTTTCCAATGAGTCATGCTAGACCTTGATGTGGTTAGCCATGTGTCGTGGGATGTGTTGTTGACGATTAGTCAAGGCGGTGCTCTAGTGAACGAGACCGCGAATGCGACTTACGATATGTCCTACTAAAGTGGTAAACTGTGAATTATGTGATATTGAGAAAGGATGATTGTTGTTGACGAGCTGTGTACTACACGAAATGATTAGTTTGTGTGGGCTTGCTGGGTTATTAATTGCCGTCGATCAGTGAACCGACGATGCCCCGAGGAGCCGTAGGGAATGCGGGATGCCGTGGTCAGTGGACTACGATGCCTAGGATGAGAATGCCCTAGATGCCCCGGGAGTTTGATCGGGATGCCGTGGTCAGTGGATCACGAAGCCTGCGCGGGCCGTTGAAAATTCCGACGTACACCGCGGCAGATCGGAGTGCGCATCGAATCCTGCTAGACGGGAGTTTTCCTCCTTGCGTGTCCGGCGAACGCACCGCGCATGTGACTTGGAGTGAGATAATGATACCCAAGTAAGAGTGAAATTGTGTGTGTGTGTGTGTGTGTGTGTGTGTGTGTGTATGTGTGTGTGTATGTGTGTGTGTTGAATCGTGCTATTGATTGTGATTGTGGAGTAAAGTATCTCACTTGAGATGGTTACTAACATAGGTACAACAAAATGTGTTTATTGTGATTAGCAAATCCAACTAGAAGATTGTTATACTTATGCATGTTGATTTACATTCTATTCTTGTTAATATAGGTTGACAGACATTTTACTTGTTGAGCCTAGCTCACTGTTGTTGTTGACAACTTTTACAGATTTTTAGCTATGCCTATCCTACCCGCCTCCTCCTCAGTTAGCTATGGGGCCCCGATCGACTTCTCGGGACACCTGTCAGAGTTTGAGATTCCTGATGTCCCCGGGATAGTGTTCTTGCGATGTATCTCAGTATTGACTATAGATGTTGGGCCCCCTGTCTGATCTATATTGTTAGGTTTTTTGGCAGTGTATGCTCGTATTGGTGGGCGACTCATAGGGCCCCTACCGTACGTGTCCGAAGACGAGGATGACGATGCTTCTAGTGGGGTGGAGTGAGCTGTAGTTGGAGAACGGGGAGGATCATTTTTGGGACATGTGACCGACACTTTTTGGGATAGGGTCACGTGATAGGTGATACGCTTTTGATAGATGAAATGGTGAGTCTCATGTTGATAGGATAGTGATGGGAGTAGCACTGTACATAGCCTCCCTAGTATGAACTCACCCTTGTATCATCCATGTATATAAATAAAGAAATATTGAAGTTCAGTGCCAGTGATATCTTTATATTTTTTATTAGTTATTAATTCAGGATTTAAATGCTATTTTTAAAAAGAAACGTTTCCGCGTACAAACTCTTATAATCGCGTGAGGTTAGACTGACATATAGGAAGGGGCGTGCCTAGGATGCCACATTGCCGCTATAAGAAAAACTTGAAAAATGTTCGAAAGAATGGTGTGAGCAACTATAGCTTAGTCTAAGCAGATCAAACGCCTACTAAGCATACTTCAAAATCATATCGAAACTTATTTAGTTCAAATCCACAATATAACTTATGTTCAAGTTTAAAAACAAGTTTTATGTTTTTAACAAAGCTTTATACATATTCGAAATACTCATTTACTCAGTAATATCAAAACAAAATATCAATGGTTCAATCCATTGATCAATCTCATTAACTCACATATCAATGGTTTATTCTATTGATCAATCTCATCAGTTCAAATGTCAATGATCTATTTCACCGACTAATCTAATGCTCAATACCTAACTATGGTCACTTCTTAATGCTCATGACAAAGACAACCAAGTTTAGCTAAGTCTACCACATATATTAGTTGTTGATTCAGCCAAGAAGGACGTTCTGAAATAGTATGCATGCTTCCCCCTCAATGGGTTCTTATCATAGCGATCATAAATCTCATTCTCCAATAATCCCACAATCAAAACCATAATTCATCTTGTAAATCGGTTTCACAAATTGAATCAAATCAACTTTCGCAACTTAACTTATCCAATAGAATGCATTTCGTAAAGCATTTCACAAAAAATCATGTATATATCATTTCATAAATCATACTCAAAAGTCAAGAGTTTTCTTAATTCTTTCACCAAAATTTTGCAAACAAAAAAAATACATAATTTTTCTCAGCCCCATTCATCAAACTAAATATATATTTCACATGACCTTTCTCACCCTATTTCGGAATTCATTTGGTAAACTGGTAACATTTCGAAACTCCTTTTATAAAACGTTTCTTGAACCTTTCACAAATAATCGAAAAGTAGTAAATGCTCGATCTAGACTTTTATGCAACTAAATATGCTCTTTTTAGTTCAATAGAAATTATAATCAAATCATTATCACTTTAAGACAAGAGCTTTATACATTTATAGAAGAGATAATACCACTCACCTGGAAAAGCCGAAAATCGATTAGCCGAAAATCAACTTACGAAGGTCACTCCAGTTGTTGCATTCGTATTCCTATCAATTGGCCAATAAACGATATCAAAATCCAAGTAAAACACTATTCCAATGAACAACTTGACTAAACTATGCTCAATCGTCAACAAAACGCACCAACTAAGAAACTCGTTTATAGCGTACATTCATCTTTTTCCTTGTGCATATAATCCATTATGCGTGGCTCACACACAAAACTTCCAAATTTCGTTCCAAACAACCAAACTTTGAAATCGATTTTCGTTAAACCCCGTCATTCCACAATGCCCTAGACTACTATTTCCACAAAAATTGCAACTCAAAAACTCCTCAAATTGAATCTCGTAGTTCAAAATCTACTTAACTTGAAATTTGTGCCCTAACTTCCAAAATTACTTAGATTAGATGAATAATCTACTTGATTACTTACTCAGCGTTACAATTCGCAGTTGATTCGGCTTGTCAAGCTGTCCGTATCATGAATGCGCGAAGATTCTCTCTCTCTCTTATTTCCTCTTTCACGGACGAGCAACTTCTTCACTTCCCATGTTTTTGTCGCCGATGTTCTTCTCCTTTTTAAGCTCACTTGCACGATCTGTTGAAGAAGAATGAGCTATAGTTGGACTTGGGCTTGAGCTTTACTAATAAAATAATGGGCTTATGGGTTACTTGGGCTACATTTGGTTCAACTTTCTCAAAGGGCTTTAGGAAAATGCAAAGCAATTTAGCCTAAAGGACTTTGGAAAAATGCAAAAACTGTTTGGCAAACTTTACTTTGAGAAACAACTTTGAAAGAAATGCCGTCTAGTAGATAACACATTTGAAAAGCCCATTTGGATGATTAATTTAAGCTTTTTAATTTTTCATTTATTGAAAATTGAAAAAAATAATCTGCAACTTCTGTATTTTAAATGTTGACAACAATGTTAAAGATATGTATTAAAAAATTATAAATAAAAAATTACATTTCTTTTTTTGCTAAAAAAAATTCAAATGGAAAAATTTCACCTCAAAGTGGACTCTTTCTTATAAAAAATAGAGTGCTTTCATCATAATGAAAGTTGAAACATATGCCCCAAGGAAAGAAATTCATTATCCTTAAAAATTACGAACATCCTTAAATATTTCCTAAACTTATAACTATCTACATTATCATTTGAAGCACTACCCTTCTCATTTGAACAAGTGTCGATGTACATTGCTGCATCAAAGCAAGTGTCCATAAACATTCAAAATTATATAGGAAAGACGAGAAATGTTGTCGAATTTGCAATTGCAACAACACGATATAAATTAACTTGAATGGGGAATATTGATCCGTCACCTGATTGCTGCACTAAGGAAAAAGAACTCTAGTGTTCAGATAAAACCTTCCCACCAATTTAACACTAACCAATACTAGAACTTGCCACACCATACATTCAGCTTTACAAACCCCTTTCTCTTGTGAGGTCTATGTTAGAACAATTTGTACAGCTAAAATGATCCTCCCATCTATTCTGGAATCTCACAAAAGAGTCCAAGATCTATGGCCGGGCAACTACTCCCTCAGCTTGGCGTGATGAAACTTGAGCCTACGACCGGCACTACAGTGAAGTCCATTGTTGCCATGGCTTCCAACTCTTGAATTGCATCAACAGTGCTAATCGAACTAGTCAAGTGAGGCCACAGTACACCAACTGCTTCCTTGATCTTCGATTGCTACAGAACATATACATAATTAAACGCTGGACAAAACATTGCGGGCATGGAAAGATTATACAACGAGCCTCCGTACAAAGCTACAAGCAAGGAACGCAGATCCAACTACTCATCACGGTCAATTCATAGCATTCAAACAACTGACTCGTTCACATTATTCAATTCAAGATGCTGTTGTTTCAATGTTAGAACATAAAAGTCATCATCACTAACCTTCAATTCTGCTGTGTAAAAATAACAAATGATTTCCTCTACCTACCCATTGCTCTCTCGCTGCCACCACCAACACAAACTATAATCCATGACTCATCATCACTAACCTTCAGCCTCAGTAAAGCCAGAAATTTTATACACCCTCTCATTCCCCAATTAGATTTTTCCCCCGCAAGAAAATTCTAAATTGTTTAGAATCCCAATTCATCCGTCATTGAAAAGCCAAAAACTGGCACATACCCAAAAATTTGCATAGTTCTAATTCGAGAGGATTTGGCCAGTATGCCTTGGATCATCATATTTGACAAAAGCCCAATTCAAGATATAGAGAAACAATAACGCCCCATAAAAACCCCCAATTTTCTCATCGTGATTATGTCAATCCATTATCACACAATCTTCGCACATTGTTTATTATCAGAACCACAAATAAATATGTCCAAAACCAGCCAACTTGCAGCCAAACAAGTTGGGTCAAAAATTATGAACAAAGAAAAACTCCAAGAAAAATACAATCCATAACAATTCCACCAACGCAAATCACTACGGCTATTACTGAGAACTCAATCATTGCAACAAAAACGACAAGCACGACGAAAAACGAGCGAGGGCTCGGGTTACTTCTCAGCTCAAACATCACAAGGCAACCAAAAACAACAAGCACCATTCATCACTCGCTCGGGTTACTTATCAGCTCAAACATCACAATGCACAGATTTAAGCAATCGAAAGCAGATCTACCGGGGAGAGAGAGAGATTGAACCTGCAGAGAACGAGGAGTCGAGCAAGGAAAGGAACGAGCGAAGGAACGGAGCAGTGGAGCGAGGAGTGCAGTCGGCAGGAGCAGGGAGAGAGCGAAGAGCAGGAGCAATCGAGCGAGGAGCAGTCGAAGTGAGGGAGAAAGCGAAGAGCAGGAGCGAAGGTGTGTAATGATATGGGAAGTAGGGTTTTACTTTTTATAAGGGGTAAAGTTGGATTTCTATGAAGTTTTTTAGGACAAAAAAGGAAACTGACCAAATTTCATTAACGAAGGCTTTCAGCATTGGGAATGCTGAAGGTCTTCCCAATACTAGCTTTGGCTTGAAAGCCCATTGAGAATAATTGCTAAACACCCCAAATTTCTCCCAAGGGACTTTAGGGCTCAAAAGGGCTTTCAAAATACTGAACCAAACGCACCCTTAAGCCCCTTATTACAAGAATAATTGTTAGATATGTGCAATTACCAATGTGACTATTCACTTTGATCCCAAAAAAAAATATTACTAGTCACAATCATTCTAAAGAAAAAAAAAACTCTCGAACGAACATTCTCCATAGAAATGGACACTTGGGTTGTTGCCGTAGAATCTTCAATGTGATTGAACACATGATCGAGACCAAGTCTCTGGTAGAAAATTCGTGCTGCTGGGGACTCGAAGTCGTTGCCGATTCAGCCGAGATCGAGACATCAAGACAATCCTAGTCAATTATTTTATTTTTTATTTTTTTTCTGAGTAAGCAAGAGGTTTTGCTGATAATTTTATCAAAAAGTCTAATATCATATTTGCCTTTTCATCACTTTTACTTTTGGTTTCCACTTTAATGAATAATTATCGATGGCAATTTATTTTAATTACAGTTTTTTCCTTATCCATCAAAAGCGTACTTTGTTATAGATTGAATTTACATAAAGACTCATAAAATAATCCTAGTTAAGCTGTTTAAATCTAGTACAGGTGAAACTTTTCATTGCGAGCAATTTATGCGCCAGTATATTTTAATAATTGAATGGATCCCATTTTTTCAAATTTTCCTTTAATATAGCCGTATGATGTTCTCTGGTCTAGATGTTAATTCCGAGTTCATTTTGTTATTTATTTATTTCTAACAGAAATGTTTATATTATTATTTGTTAATTTGAATACGATTTCTAACGTAAATGCCAATTATTAATTGGTTATTTGCGTTTTTAGTATGTTTAATTAGTTATTTATATTTTTTAAATTCTTGTAAGAATTTGATCTTTTCTAATTTTTATCTTAATTGGTCCATTGCTTGACTGTACTTTAGTTTTCTAGTACCAACAATCCCATTATTTTTTAATATTTGATTTTTCTATTAGTGTTCATCTTCTCGCATAGGGAAAAAAAAAATTATCATAATATCAAAATGACACGATTGACTTAACGCGGTCCATGTATGAAATATAAATTTATTAGTCATGGGTCAATACTCGGTTTCCGGATCCCTGGGGATAATGTTGTGAAGATCCAATCAAACGCACGTAGTCATTCTTTTCCATGCTTTCACATTTAATTTTGTTGGGTTAAGTTGTCTAACTTTCTTGATCTAAACGACTTGATTCTATTAAGTTTTATTTTATGCAATCAACTTTTTTTTAGCTTTCTTGACTTGTGCAATTCAATCTTTCGGTGAACTGCCCTCCCTAAACCGTTTTTAATTAATGGCGTGGCACTATCAATGGCACAAAATGGCATGTGAATCATGATGTTAGTGTGGAGTCAAATTAACAAGGAAAGAAAAACGAAACCCTAATTTGATAGCGTTAGTTAAGCCGGTAAACAAGACACTCGATTGGACGAACGAAGAAAGTTATAGGGCTTGATTGAATAAATAAAAACTTGTAGAACCACATCGCACATAATGAGAAAAATAGACTCCATTGCATACAATAAGAATTAGATAACCAAATCGAACAAATTCTAAAACTTAGGGGATCAAAACTGCACTTAATCCGAAAAAGGGATAATCGGGCTGGTGGTTTAGCAAGAAAGTGATCGAGAGTACGGTCGAGGAACAAAATTAACCACTCCTATTTAATTTCGAGATAGAATTTTCAATTGATGAAAATTGATTTTTCGCTGTAGGCAATAATTAAATTTTAAATTTTTCGGTGAAAGGGAAATCTCGGCAATCCAACCGGGTTGTTGGAGGCCCCTACGACTCTCCATTCTATAGTTGGACTACGAACCCTTAACGTCTCTAACCTCTTACAACATGATGGATTGCACGCGTTGTCGCGTCGAAAGTTTGGATAAGTGTTTACAAAGAAGGAAATTGCGGTGATTTTTCCAATTAATAATAGGGATTAAGCACCGAATTGAAGGGGATTTTTAGATAAGATCCGAATCAACCGACAAGGATGCGTGCGGTCTTTCTTCAAACTTCCTCGGAAGATATCCGTAATTAATTTTAAGAAACTAGATTCGACCGGCCGACAAGGATGCGCGGGGTTCCACGAATACGGCAAGGAGCCAAAGGAGGTTCCCACGTCACGCACTCCTTTTCTTATTTTATGGCTTCTCTTTTCCGATCTTATTATAGTACTTTTTTTTGGTCGGAGGTTTTAATATAGTGCTTTCTGATGTTATTGTATTGATCTTTATTCCACCCTCTGCCTTAATTGATTTTTTTTTTTAATTTTTGTTAAAAGCACGGACGGAAAAATTCGTGCTATTTTATATAGGTCACATGGGTCTTAGGCGTGAGTTTTTTTTTTTCGTTGTTTTGATAAGAAAATCTTTATTTGGTGACACTGTACGATTCAGCCTAGACACCCATACAGACGAAGATGTCAACATAAAAGAGCTCTCGTGGATCATATGGATTAGGTCATTATTAGTAGGGGTGATCGGTTTCTAGTCCGGTCCACTTTCAAGTTTCGGTCCAGTCCAGTCCTATTTCAAAGTGGAAGTGGAAACCAGAACGGAGAACCGGTTCTCAACTTTGGGAACCGAGGACCGGACCTGTCACGCCCCGCACCCCACGAGCGCGCGGTCATCCCTCGACGGTCGTATTGAACGCGACGTCTCAGGACGCGTCGCCGACCCAAACGAAACACCCAACGATAAAGGCAAGCGGAAGCGAATTTAAAACAACCTGCATAATAAAATATGACAAAGGATAAAGACAAAACAATAATTCCAAATACACAACATCAAAAGGGAATAGTGGTGGGGTATCCTACTTCGCTATACAAAAGAGGGGCACATAAAATATGGGGTAATCTCGACCCGCCCTCCATCCCCGAGATACCCCGGTGTCGTCTCCAATCAATCGTGGTCGCAGATCTCGAAAATGGTTATATAATAACCGTGAGAACGAGTCTCAATAAGTAACCCCCTATACCCCACATAGGCCAATGCGTACCCGGACATGCTCGTACATGCAATCTACCCGATTACATATATATAATTCACATAAATGGACTTACCTCGCCATCCAACCACATGCCCACACCGCACATTAGTCAAATCATAATAATGCAATAATAGTCAATGAACACATCAAAATCATTCGAGCGCCATACACACGTACGTTCATCCAATTCAACCCAAACACATCTCACATGCGCATCCATCCAACTTTCACACGACCCGGTCAACACCCCACAGTGTCGCCCTCCGATCGATCTCGGCTCGTCCCGGTCAACACCCCACAGACCTTTCAAAAACAAACTTTCACACGACCCGGGTCAACACCCCACGTCGCCGCCCTCCGATCGATCCGGCTCGTCCCCGGTCAACACCCCACAGACCTTTCACAAACAAACTTTCACACGACCCGGTCAACACCCTACGTGCCGCCCTCCGATCGATCCGGCTCGTCCCGGTCAACACCCCACGTGACCTTTCACAAACAAACTTTCACACGACCCGGTCAACACCCCAGTGTCGCCCCTCCGATCAATCCGGCTCTATCCCGGTCAACACCCCACTGTGACCTTTCACAAACAAACTTTCACACGACCCGGTCAACACCCTACGTGCCGCCCTCCGATCGATCCGGCTTTTCTCATGCACATGCACCACAATACAAAATTCACCATGCTCTTAGTCATATAAATCAATTTCAATCACCACCCATTCACCAATGTCAATCTAGCACGCCACATCGCCCAACTCAATTCATGCTCCCGACATCGCCCACCGACCCGACATTCATGTCGGCACATTCAATTAATTCAATTCACCCACAAGCGCCACAACAATTCAACAGGCATATTTATCTCAAGAAATCACTAAATTAGTCACACAATTACCGCCACAATAATTCACAAATTGGGCACCCTCAATCTAATTAGCCCACGCCTAAATTAATTCCTAACCCGATACTAATCACATCCTAAACAAGTTTAAAAATACCCAAAGTACTAGGTAGGGTTTAGGAAGTCACTTACTTGGTTTTGGCCCGGAGAAAATCGGCTCGGGCCTAAAATGGCCCGGGTGAACAGTGCCGAACTAGGCGCGGGCACGGGTCAATCAAGGCGCGGTGGCCGGCCAACGCGGCACAATGGCTCGGACGGCGCCCGGGCGCGCGGCGTGGTGGCCGAACGGCATGCCCGGCGCACGGCAAGTTGAACGGGCGAGGTGCCTGGGCCGAACGGGCAAGGCGCCGGGCCACGGCCGGCGACGCGCTCGGGTCGGACGGCGACGCGCCTGGTCTGGACGAGCACGGCCGGGAAGTTTCGCCACGGCCCGGACGCTGACCGGGCGAGCTCGAGCACGGCCGGGCACGCCGGCCGGCGAGCCGCCTCGGCCGGGTGGCCGGGCCGGCAAGCCGGGCTGGCCGGACGACGGTCGGACGGCGACGGAGGCGAGCTATGGCGGCGGGCAAGCACTGGTTTGGGCGGCCGGGCGAGCTTGGCAGCCGGGCCGGCCGGCCGGGCTAGTCAAGCCGGCTGAGCCGACTGCCGGCCGGTTGGCCGGCCGGGCTTGCGAGGCGACACGACTCTGCTGCAACTGAGACCGTAGGGGAGAGGAAGAAAGCAAGTGGGCAAAGTGGTGGCGAGAGGGCGAGCCGGGGCCGAGGGGGTCGAACCTGCTGGGCGGCGACAA